TATGCAGAAATTAGTGGTGGTATTGCGTCATGATTTCATAATTGTTCCAAAGTATCAAAAGTAGTAACAAAATATTCAAAAGATTACAAAAACAATGAATAACACCTTCAAAACAAAATAAGTGAAGAACTTCTTATTAATTTGAACATATGAGAATAAATAATTAATGGTTCTTGTGTTAAAATTCTACAACAATATGAAAGAAGGTTAAAAGAAAAGAGCCTTTCTTCTAAGTGAAGAAATACTTGAGAAGTATCAAATCTTATTAAGAATAAAACTGATATTCTTTTATATAAGGGTTTTTAATAAATGATATTAGGAAACTATTCATAGAATATCAAAACAACAATTCATTATTCATAATTTACATTAGCACTCTTATTTCTGTTATTGATACATTATAAATAGTAACTTTCCTTTTCAATTATCTGAGAATGCATAAAGTAGTTTTGTTACCTACTATTTGATAATTTTTTGAACAAAATTTAAGTTGTTTGTTTTTATTTACAGTATATCCTAATATTTATTTATGAATAATAAAATGATTTCAGTAATAAGTTTGGTTTTGCTCAATGGTTGTAAAAGTACCTAATTCATGTTTGTAAAATTTTTTAAGCTCATAATTTCTTATCAAATGTTTTATTTTCGAGTATGGTATTTTATTCAGTTTTTTTTTTATTTAAATGATTAAAAGTAAACAAATTAACCATATTTTCTGTCAAAGACATTACGCCATTTGTTATCTGAATAATTCAAAGCTTGGGTTTGACTTAAGTCATTAGCAACGTTTCTTATACTAAGTTCAAATTCGAGGTAAATGAAAAAATAAAAAGAAGAATTAAATTCATTTAGCATTTAGGCTTGAGCTTGTGGGAGAATGAACTTGTTCAACAAACACACAAAGTTGAAGAAAGTTTTTACAAATGGGATTGGATGAACCTCCCCTTTATCCAAATGAACTTCGAACGATAAACAAACCAACTATTTATGTTAATTGTTTTACATAATTTAATAAAACACAACACAAATAAAAACAAACGAATGGGAATAGAAGAGAATATAATGTGTTACTAATAATTTGATCAACAAAGAAACAAGATAAAGTAAATAATGATCCAAAACCAACAAAGAAGAATAGTCTACTATCAATGTAATTAACAACCTTTTCTAAATTCATTTTTTGGTAACGTAGTTGAAGTTTTAAGTTAAATGCATAAAACGCATATAAAATATCAATCATAAATAACTCAAATATTCTCAAAAAAGGAATTAATCGAATAAGCAATGAAGAAGCTAACATAGTCATAGTTAATAGTGTAAAATATAAAGAATAAGGACCAGATCCAATTTGGGCATTAGAATTATTTTTAATATGATTGTATTGTTCTGCTATAATTTTGTAATAGCTTTCTGATTTATACAAAGCATAAAGTAATAACGAATTATATGTTGTGGTATAAAAGATATTCCACATAGTTGAGGCTACTCCTTCTAATTCTTTTTGTTCATTTCCAAAATGATGAAGTAACAAAGGGAAAATTAAGTGATTTGAAATAGTGTAAAACCCTCCTAATATAATAACATTAATAAGTACAATGCGTGAGTATGGATGAATAAATACATCCTTATGCTTGAGAATTCTAGTACAAACAACACGAATCCATTTGTATGATTTAAGTCCATTAATAAACAACTTAAATGAACTAACAGTTTGAAGTTGGTTCTCCATATTTTTTTGGTTAGTGAGGGTTTCTTCACTTATTTCACTGGTGTTTTCAGTTTCATTTATTTGGTTGACTTTATGCAAGATCCTATTGTTAATGTCTTGTTCTTTTTCTTCTTTTGGGATATTATTATCTTCAGTTAGCGAATTGTCAATGAGTGTTGAATAATCGCTCAACTTTTTTGTTGTATTAGGGACTTCTTTTTTCCCTAAATAATCTTCTTCCAATTCATTGGGGAATTGACCTTTTATTTTTACAGACATGTAAATTGGTTTTTTTAGTATTTTTTTTTAAGAAACATCATTTAACGATTTTTGAAAAAAAAATTCAAATCCAGTGGTAAAAATTTTTATATATTAAATTCCAACAATAATGTAAGCTTGAAATATCAACAATGCATTATCGATTGAACAATTAAAAATAAATGGTATTTGAGTTTATCTCATTTATCA